AAAGGAAGCATCAAAAGATTGGGGGGGGGGGCGGTTTCGAGGGGCACTTTTGGAATGAAAAGGCATGTTGGCGACTGGGGGAAGGGGGCCCCTTAGGAAAAACAATTGCAATTGTACAAAAATGCAATCTGAACAACACTTTTCACGAAATAAAATAAATTAAATAAATTCCTTGACGCTTCCCAGCGGGCAAAATGACGTTTATCCAATGTTGAATCAACGTTGAAAATGACCTTCCAGACATTGGATAGACGTTGAAAAAGGGTTGAATATGCAAATTGGATCGACGTTACTGTTTCGACGGTGAAACAACGTTGAAATTCGGTTGCCAATCTCGTCAACCATAATTCAACGTTGAATCCGCGTTAAAACAACGTTGAGATTGGTTCACAAATCGACGAGTCGTACATTTAACCATGAATGAACGTTAATTCAACGTCTGTTGGCTGCCGTTGAACCAATGTTTGTAAAACAACGTCAGAGCAACGTAGATATTAGGTTGTCGACGTCGCAACCTTTTTTCTACCAAATTTCAACGTTGAAACAACGTCGTGTGCCCGGTGGGTTTCGTTCCACGGAAAAGATTTTTACCTCCGCAGTTGGTTAGAGCGCTGCATCAGAATCGCAGGGCTGCAGGTTCGATTCCTGTCAGATGGTATATAATTGCATTTTTCACAACTGCTGTTGGTTAGGTCTAAGAAATGTATAAAATTCACACTCAAAATTTCCAACTACAATTCTTTATACACACGTAAAACGCACAAGTTGTTACAGGTCTGCAAACAAGTTGTTACAAATCTGTTCACAAGCTGTTAGCAACTTGCAACAAGCTTGATGGCATTATCAGACTTGTTTGTACGGTTGTTCTAACAAGTCTGATACACTACTCAATACAGTCATGATATAAGGTTGTAACAATACTTACACTGCTATATCATGACTGTGTCGGATTTGTTGGAACAATGTTGTAAAAAGCCTGTTTTTAAATGCCAACAACTCAACAAGGTTGTTCCAAACTTGTTGACAACTTGTGAAACGCAGTGCGAAGACAACTTGTTGACGGCTTGTTGACAAATTTGTGACAAGATGTGAGATTTTTGCGTGTGTACATTTAATTATATTTGAGCGTAGTCGTAGATGTGCAAAGTCCTAAGATTTTACGTGCCATGTATAGACACCTAGAGATGGGCAGACAAAGGATTAATAAGCCAACTCTCTGCCTTGTCCTTGACCCTTGTAGTGAATCCGTACTTCATATTACTCCGTCTAACGCCAGACGGTTAAATGGGCGTTATAAAACTACGCCATGCACAAATCCACTCTAAAACATTTCGTATTTATGCTGTAAAAACATTCAAGTCTTAAACACCCGTTGTCCTTGCACACGTGGCGAAGCGCCAGCATTCATTATTACCGGTTATTATTTACACACAGTTGTGCTTTATACCACAAATATACCATGCATAATGCTCGTCACGTGACGCGCTTAACCAGTAACACGCGTGTTTCTATTGTCGTGACGCCTTGCCACAGGGCCCCCGTACGCTGCTTTGCCGCTCTGTTGATACGGCCGCCATTGTTTGAGGATTTTAAATCGTTGAAACTTCGCAAAAATCATGAAATAAGTTCAGACATTTATCCAAGTCATGGCAGACAAGTCCAAATCCATAATGAAGAAACCGGACATTATCAAAAGCGAGGCGATGGATATTGACGAGATTCAATCGAACGAAAGCGACGGTGAAACGGGTCAGTTCACTGAGCTAGTGACCATTTTATACGCTAGTCATTTAGCTATAAATAAAGCTTATATATTTCTAAATATTTACAGAACATGGCATGAGAGTTGGAGAAGAATATCAGGCGGTTGTACCAGAGTTAATTATCGGCAAGTCTCTTTGAAATTTTTGTTCAACTGTTTAAATTTTTCCTCCGAGGTCTGAGGTCGGAATCGCTCGTGTTGCCCCGATACGATATATTAATATCGTCTGAAATCGCTTCGTTTATGCCGTTTGTTTAAAATTTGTGGTTTTGGTAAGGATTTTGTTTCAAAATATTGCTACCAAGGTGAAATCTCCACTTGCTTAGAGATTGGGTAAATGAATATTTCATATTTGATATTTGAAGATAGCAATTCGTTCAAAGATTTCTATTAAATATTAATACAAAAGATAGATGTATGTTAAGCTTTTTGTTATGTTGATTGGAAAATAATGCTTCTACATTGATGAAAAGAAAAACGAAACTCCTGTGAAAAATATAAAAAAGTTTTGATTTTGGTTAATGTTTTCCTGCCTGGGTTCTCTGTGGCATTTATTCTCCAGTGACCTCTGAATATAACTGGAGCAGTATCTTGGATAGTTGGGTTTTTGCACTTTGTAGCAGCAGATGCTTATAATGGGCATCGTGAAGTTGTTCCCTAACAATTGCGTTAAGCTAACCCCATGCATTTGTGCATTATGTCCATCACAAAAGTAGTCTTGTCCAGATAAAATCTTTGTTGCGACCATTGTGTCTAGGATGCTAGAACATTCCAGACACTGGAGCCACAAAATAGACAATTCCAGCAAAATAAAATATATCATTATAGCTCAAAAGAGCATCCTAAAATTAGTAAAATTGCAAAGTTTGGTTGCGAAATGTTGTAAAATACGGAAAATATAGCGCTGTCAAATTGGCAAATTTTGAGCATTTTAGTATTACACATGGTAAAAATAACTACCTTCAGCTCAAAAATGATTATTCTTACTGCATGTAATACTAAAATGCTCAAAATTTCCTAATTTCACAGGGCTATATTTTCCATATTTTACAACATTTTGCAACCAAACTTTGCAATTTTACTAATTTTAGGATGCTCTTTTGAGCTATATGACTGTTTAGTGAGTTCCAAAACAAAGAGAAATCTAGTTCTTCTGGAAAAATAATGAAGTCTTCTGAAATATTATTTCTCGCATTTCGAAAATATGTTGCGATAAGTCATTCTATAAATTGTCATAATGTAACTTCATAAAAAGCTTGAGACAGACTATTACGTTGCTAGAAACAGTATGTTTATGATATTAAAACCATTTTTAGACAAAGACAAGTATGAACCATCCCATAAGGCATTGTTGGTTTGGTCTCCAAATGCACACATTACTGATGAAAAATGTAAGTTCTTGAACATTTTTTAAAAATACTAAAATTAATATATCCTTTGAATTTGAATTAATAACAATTTTTATTACATTGACAAAATTTGAACTAAATATAATTAATTTATTTTTCTCAGTGGATGAGTATTTACAAAGAGCAAAAGACAAACATGGTTATAATATGGAACAGGTAAAAACATGCTTGTAGTAAGAATATGAAAACTTGACACAAATCAAAATAATTTTCCTTCCAAAATGCTGATATGTTTTATTACTGAAGTGTTTCAGTCATGTGTAGAGCAGAATAATTTGAGGATAATTTATATTAATTTAATGGACGTACAATGTGAAACAGTATTTTGTATTGCTGGACATGAAATTGTGAATGTGTGCTTTAAGAACACTATCATTTACTATTATTTCATAATTTCTCATTTAAAGGCTCTTGGAATGTTGTTTTGGCACAAACATAATATTGATCGATCACTTACAGACTTGGCCAATTTCACACCATTTCCTGGTAGTACTACTTCATACTTTGATTATAGTATTTGTATAGTTAGTACTTGTATAGTACAGTATGTATTGGATTGTCTGAGTAAAGTACTGTTAGGTCTTGGTAGAGGTTTTTGAAGTGCAAAGTTTATCCACACATATACATGTGTGCATTCCCCTCCCCAGTCTATAGGGCAACACCCCAACCTCTGAAGGGACCCCCCCCCCCTTACCCAGACAAAATCAGGTTCCCTCTCCCTAAGAGAAGTTAGATTCTTCCCCCTGGAAGAAGTATTCTTCCTTTTCCGAGAGGTCACCCACCTCCCTGAAGAAGTCCGCTCCCACCTTCCCCTGAACAAATTAGCTCCTCCGTCTCCCCTTGGAGAAATATGCTCCCCCAGAAGGAGTCAGCTCCCCTCTTTCCAGAGAAAAAGTCCCCACCTTCCCTTCTGTAGAAAAAATCAACTCTGTAGAAAAAACCTAACTCTCTAGTGGAAGCCAGCACACACCCCCACCCCCCAAAATAATTCAAAGTTTGATTAAAGCAATGGCCATGAAAGGGAGAATCCTTATTTGTGCCCTCACCCAGTTCAATCACCCAAACCGTTTGTTTACCTTGCCCAGAGTAAGAATATAATTGTTTGTTGTAGATGAATGGAGCATGGAAGATAAAGTCCTGTTTGAACAAGCCTTTAATTCACATGGAAAGTCATTTAAGAAACTTCAACAAAGTGTAAGCTTTGATTAGTTTGATGTAATCATTATCACAAAGCTTCCTCAATAAAACTCTGTATGAATGTGCCAAGGCTTCAACAACTTACTATAAAAATTAAAATTTCTAAAGCTTTTAATTCACATGGAAAGTCATTTAAGAAACTTCAACAAAGTGTAAGCTTTGATTAGTTTGATATAATCATTATCACAAAGCTTCCTCAAAAAAATACTGTATGAATGTGCCAAGGCTTCAACAACTTACTATAAAAATTAAAATTTCTAAAGCTTTTTATTGTGTTCAATTTTCAGCTGCAAGACAAGTCAATCAGTAGTTTAGTGAAATTTTATTATTCATGGAAAAAGACGAGAAGTCGAACAAGTTTGATTGACCGTCAGGCAAAACGAGTGTCACTTCAGCGTGATCAGAGGTACTTGGCAAAGGCAAATAATTTATGTGATAACAGTGACCAGTGTTTCTTTTTAGGACATTAAAGGCCTGTTTAATTAACGTTCCTCAAACTCAATATTCATTTAAGTTTTGAAACTCAATCATTTCATCAAAAGAGAGCGTCCACCGGTCCACGCTCATGGAACTAAAATACGTTAAACAGCGCTGTGCTAACACTTTAATATCAAAATATTTCTTTCAGTGACAATGATAGTGATAAATCTGATACCAGCGACAGCGATTTTGAACCTGAAAAGGAGGTTAGAATTGCATAATAGGCTATGTTCATTTCATAATTTCGCTTGATACATTCAAGAACATTTTTTGTAACTTCACAAAATGTCCCTTTTTAGGGTCGTTCAAATGGAGGACTTAAGCGAAGTCTGCCTGGAAAACAAGTGAGTACAATTTAAGTTGAGTAATTTCAAATCATTTCTAGCGTTTGTTCACGTGTCAAGAAATAACTTTGGAGCCGTTTGAGTAGTTGAAAAATACTAAACTGAAGAGAAGTCGACCTAATTGATGAACGACGTTTTTATTCTCATTAGAATCCACCACCACAAATCGTACCAGCAAGTATTTGTGCCAACTGTGGTACCCAGGCAGGGCAGATGCATACCACGCCCAAAGGAATCATGTGTAATGCTTGTTATCAGTTCTGGAGGTATGCTCTATTCTGTGTTAACATCGTTGTACATTGAATTCTGTTGCTTGTTGATAGGTTCGTAGGTTCGATTCTCACCGTGGTCAGGCATATTTTTCAAGCTTGCCCGGTGTGGATATACACTCAGAGTAACATCGCAAGCATCATATTCACCTGAGTACATTACACCAACACAGAAAAAATCTTAATTCATATTATAGGAGAACAGGAATTATGAGATCAAGATCTTCTAATCATGCGAAGAGCGACAGCCACAATGCTCGATCTCAAGGGAAAGGGAAGCGAAAACCGCCAAAGGTTTGAGATATATCCATCACTAAACATGCTTAGAAACTTTCAAGTTTCCATTAAAGACAAACTTAGTGATTGGTTAATTACTTGATCAAATGAGGCCTTCTGAGTGGTTAGGTGGAAAACGCGGACATGCAGACATGCGGACCCGCATGTCCGCGTTTTCCACTTGACTTGCGTGTCCGCATGTCCGCGTTTTCCACCTAACCCTTCTGAGTGGCCACAAAATTTGAGTTCAATCATCACATTTAGCTGGTATTGGAATATTTCAAATATATGGATGTTAAAATATCCATGCTTGGCTACCAATTGCCCGACTTGCGCTTTAGACTAAATTTTAATCTAAGTAGGAACAACGAAATCTATCACCACAGCTAGAAAGAGCGTCTTGGAATTAGTAATATTACAAAGTTTGGTTGCGAAATGTTGTAAAATACGGAAAATATAGCCCTTCAAAATTGGCAAATTTGTATACTTTTGTATTATATACGTGCGTGAATTGGTAACTAAATTAGTTACCAATTTCCGCACGTAATAGAAATGTATACAAATTTGCCAACTTCGCAGGGCTATTTTTTCCGCATTTTACAACATTTCGCAACCAAATTTTGCAGTTTTTCTAATTTTGATAACTTCATTCCGAAAATATCCTTTGTTAGTCCCAGATTAAAAATTTTTCTAAAGCGCAAGTCCTCCATTGCCCGACGAAGTGCCTTCGCTCGAAACGTCGAAGTTCTCCTTGTATTTTCAGGTAGTTGTATCCCTATCAATCCGAAACTTTCAAGATTATTGCCACGACCTGCACTGACACAAACAGTTCAAGATTATATGTCAGTTAGCTATATAATTTGTTTCTCCGTCTTACAGGGTATGACCATTACTCAAGAATCGTTGCTTGTTGTCAGTGGTTTACACAGTAACGCTCACTTGCGTCCTTTAGACATGGATATCATCAACCTGAAACGTCAGATCCAGACTAACAAACAGAATATTAGTCAGGATAGATTTGATCTGCAGGTTGGCATTAATGATGTGCGTGGTCTCGAGGTACGATTCATTTTATTCTATTACAAAATGTTTACTTGTACTTGTACATCCCGTGTTTATGGAGTGCATTGAAGAACAGACCAGGCAGAAATGTACTGTGGTTTCAAAATTAAAAATCTATATTTAAAATTATAACCATCCGTTGTTAACTACAGAGGTGTTACTACAGAAGGAAACCTTATACAGGGTTCGTACGGGTCCTGGAAAACCTGGAAAGTCATGGAATTTCAATACTCCAAAACCTAGGACTAGAAATCGTGGAAAATCAATTTTTGTCATGGAAAGTCATGGAAAATTGAAATTTTACATAACATTAACAAAGTATTTTACTTATTTCAATTTACCTGTTATAACAATAATATGAATTGCTGTTATATAACGGATTTATGGAAGAGCGAAGTGAATTTTGTCTTTTATTATACCTGTTATCGTTAAAATATAAACGAATTTCAGAAATTCCAGACGTCCAGGTCATGGATTTTGAAAAAAAGGTCATGGGAAGTCATGGAAAAGTCATGGAATTTTAAGTGGGAGAAGGTGTACGAACCCTGCTTATAACACCCGTAGAAAAATCGGGGAAAGCACTCTTCTTATTTGCAACTGAGGTGAAATTATCGTATAGTGTAGCAGAGACCATAGGGATGTTCTGTATTACAGTAAGTTTATTTTTTCCTGCCAACAGCCCAGTTTGAAGAACAACGCAAGATGGAGCAATGAAGAACTCACTTTAGCTGTTCAGTGTAAGTTTACCATTATTTCCTCCGAGTTGTATTAACATTCCTTCCAAGATTTTCTGTTTAATGGTGAATCATGCATGTTATTCAGCTTGTCTACAGTAAAAGACTCTCATTCTGATTTTTACGATGCAACAACAGTCTCCTAAACATAAACCTTTTCCGATTTCCAGCTGTCCGTCGTTACGGCAAGGACTTTCAAGCGATGGCGGATGTCTTACAAAACAAGACTGTCAGTCAGTGTCGTAACTTCTACGTGAACCATCGTAAACGTTACGACCTTGAGCAAGTGTTAGAGGATTACGAAACCGAACAGGGGATTGTGAGAACAGATAAGAAAGATGGTGATCAAGTACCATCTCCAGACTCTGGTGGTTCGTCAGTACCATCACCTGGTACTACTGTTCAAGGTATGGTATGATGCATGGTGTCTCAATATGCTGGTTTATGGGTTGGTTTAATGCAGTTTAACGTGCACCCTACCGTAGCATCCCCCTCCCCTGGAGAAGTCCAGTACCACCCAAAAAAAAGTCTGCTTAATAGACAACTTGCATGTTAGACCAATTTTTGATTTAGGCAAAAAAAAGTAAATTCCTGTAAAGAACTTATTAAAATCAGTAAAATTGCAAAATTTGGTTACGAAATGTTGTAAAATACAGAAAATATAGCCTTGCGAAGTTTGCATATGTTCAGTATATTTGTATTACGTGCGGAAATTGTTACCATTTTTGAGCCGAAAATGCTAACAATTTCCACACGTAAATACAAATATACTGAAAATATGCAAATTTCGCAAGGCTATATTTTCTGTATTTTACAAAATTTCGCAACCAAATTTTGCAATTTTACTAATTTCATTATTTTCTTTTTAACTGTTGTGTTTTATTCCCTTCTCTTTACTTAGATTAAAATTTAGTCTAATATGCAAGTTGTCCATTAACCGTACATTTTCTGCTTTTCGAATAACGATTAGCGGAACTTTCTTGAAACAATTTCATTGCTTTGGTTAAATATTTTGTTAACGGGAAAAGTAGAAGCCACCTTTTTGACCTTTTGATCAGGTTTGCTTGTCGAGTTATTTTGGTGAACAAAATAAAATGTTGTGTGTGTTTTTCCACAGGCAATCCTCCGCCTTTAACAAAACCAAGTCCAGTCTCAACTCAATCAATGTTTAGCAACCCAACACCATATCGAAATAATGTACCAAGCACTGGTCTTTCTGTTCCACCTCCGCCACTCATTAAACCTACACCAATGAATTATCCTGTACAGGTAAGACCATATCATATCTACTAAACATATGAATTCTTTAAGCCTCGTTCACAGTAGCGATTTTGTCCGTGATTTTGTCTTTCTGATGGATGCAAATAAGTGAACTCGCACACAAAAGTATAGAGTCACTTTTCAGAAGTAAACTTCGCTCGAAACCTTGGCAGGATGAGATCGTCCATAGGCATACCGGGGGGGGGGGGACTTGTCCTCACCCACCCCCCGACCGCCCCCTAATATTTTCCTCCCGTGCGCTTTGAGACCAGCAACAACAACGTGGACTGTTTTTCTTTGATTAAATGGTATTTATTCATTCTCATTTTCTCCTAGGTTTTGTTACCGTCCGGAGTCTCGTCCCCACCGCCACAGCTGGTGAGCCAAGACTCCCCATATGTTCCCCCACACTCAGGAACCACGCCACCGCTTCGTCCAACCAAAGTCTAAACTTGGATTTTTTGATTAACTAACAGTTTTGATAAGAACAATCGATTTTTTCATATTCTGATAATCAGTGTTAATATTTATTTCAGAGCTATATGTGATAGGAATTTTAAGACTGAAAGATTGATGACTACCCAGGATCACATGTTTTGTAAAATATCTTCGCACGATGCATCCGTTCAGAGTTCCAACTGTGCATCCAAATATCGCATCCTGAGTGGGGGGAATAACATTGCAGTTGAATCATAGCATGCAGCTGAGACTAGGAGATTTGAATCAAAGTCAACTGTTCCATCGTTTCCGTTTAAGATATAGCCACAATAGATCTGTGGGTATGATCGATTTTTATATCCTTATACTATTTTCTGTATAAAGCAAAATTAAGAAAGATTAAAGATGCACAATAAGGGAATATTAGAGTAACTTTAAGCGGTTCAATGGTGCTGAAAATGTTTTGTGTCACATGGTTTTCAAGAGAGGTTTTGGTCTAGACTAAGTTGCTTGATAGGCAGTCTGGTTGGTTTATACTGGTTAAACAATTTGAAACTGTCAAACCCTGCTAGTATGCTTATGTTTTCTTATTATCTATGGTGTTTTAGTTGGGATACAGCACACGGTAGTATGTTCTGATATTCTCACCAGCATCGTGCTAACGTTGTCAAACCGCTGAAGGTTTACCGCTAAACAGAGGAGTTTATTGAAACGAATTAAAAACAAAAATGTAATAAGGCTCATGTTTTATTTATTTCATCGCGCATCGTTTACATTTTGACTTACTCAATTGAATGTTAAAATTGATATTCACTGTAGCACATTTAAACATCCGAACTGCCTGTTTCCAAATACTTGTATGTATCATGGCAAGGCGAGCAGGTACATGCCATTGCATACTGTATACGGTATCTCTTTACAGCCAACGTACGCTTGGTATCGTAGCATTTTAAATCGACTGTTGTGCACCTGGTTTTCGTGGGCTTACAACAGCTACACGGTCGGCTTGTCTTCCAGTTATCCATCGAGAAACAATTCCCAGAGCATAAGGGGAGTATAAGCTTCCGAGAAATGCAGTTTGCATAACGAACTGTAATGAAGCCATGTCGAACTTTGCACACATCATCTTCAAGTTGTTGAGGAGATGTGGTTAATATAAACACAGATAATATGGCAAGGATGGCAAAGCAATTCTTCGCAAAAGGCATGCCTGAAATATGATGAAACATAATTATACTGGATAGCCCTATCCGTTCTAAACTGTTCTCCCTAGAGATCCAGTAAGGGTCATCTCTTATCGATCCAGTGTTACTACAGGAGGAAACCTAAACTAACTTTATTCATACTGGATAGCTCTATCAGTTCTAAACTGTTCTCCCTCTAGGTCCAGTAAGGATATCTCTTATTGATCCAGTGTTACTGCAGGAGGAAACCTGAACTAAACTAACTTTATTCATACTGGATAGTTCTATCAGTTCTAAACTGTTCTTCCTAGAGGTCCAGTAAGGATCATCTCTTATTGGTCCAGTGTTACTACAGGAGGAAACCTAAACTAACTTTATTTATACTGGATACCTCTACCAGTTCTAAATTGTTGTTCCTGGATGTCCAACAAGAGCCATATCTCTTTATTCATGCAGGTATATGGGTCCAGTGTTTCTGCAAGAGGAAAACGTAACTAAACTAGCTTTATTTATACTGGACAGCTCTGTCAGTTCTAAACTCGCTGTGAGGGGCATTCCATGTTGATTCACGCACGTACTAACAAACACGAGGTGTACCTGGAGAAAATCTGCTATATTTGCTAGAATTGAACAGGGAGCTCGTGTCAGTAATCGAATCCCAGTCGCAGAGTTCAAAGGAACACATTCAACTCGCTTTATAATTGAAGAAATGAAAAGCAACTACACTGCAAATATAATATAGCTTAATTTCTCTTACCTAAACACTTCGTGATTTGAGAATTAAATTTCCAGATGTTTCACCACCGCCAACGGTTGTGGGGGAAGAACTTCAAGTCGAAGTAAAAACGGCTACTCTTAATTCAGTTTCTTTATATACTGTTTTGTAAATTTTGCATCAGCAATTTACACTTGTTAATAATGGCATTAATGTCTTTAGCGTAGGAATACACTCAAAGTATTAATGATTTAGAGATGCCGTTTAGTTTAAATCTTCCTCAATTAGGAGAAACCTTTCTTCAGAAGGAAAAATTAATTGGTTTAGATATTGGGTTTTGCTAGAGCATGTTTTTGGGATTGAGATATTGGAGTTCTATATCTTGTTACAGGGGGCGACAAATTTGCGAATTCGTACAGTTCTATAAGAAAATCTTTATACGTAAGGCAAGATACAAGATAAGGGGATCTAAAACCGATATCTCGGTCCCGAAAACGAGGCTGTATGGCCAAGGCTAAGCACTTTCCACAGAAGGGTCTATTAATAACTGTTGCAGCTTGTTCATTTACTTTTCAATCTTCACATAGAAATTTAAGAATATAATTATATTAACATAAACACCTGCACAACATTTAAATAAAACGCCCACCATGTCATTTCTCCCATTTCATTAGTAGTTAGTATTCGCCTATATAATCCAGTTTATTAATGAAATATGAAGCTGGTCGATTCACAGCAGTAAGGGAAGTCATTAAAAAATTGCTGTATATACAAACATGAGGTAAGTCAGGTAAGATTGTCATGTCCTGATAAATTTGGATGAACGAATTTTTGAGAACGTTAACATAGTCAAGCTTAAAAGCTTAAAAATGAAAATATTTTTAGGGTGAGAGTAAGGCAAGATTGAGGATTCTTTCAGATGGCGTGTGCAACTTCGGTTCAACGCAAAATCACTTTATCGCCAAATTGTTTTGCTCTGTCTAATGCCAGGCGATTTTTACTGCTCAGTGGGGACCCCTATAGAAATCCTAGAAATGGAAACATACATAAAGGGTTGATAAACTAACTGTCTATGTAGAATTTAAGGGCGAGGCCAACCGACCAACAACGAGGCCAACATGTTGGTCAACATGGCATCATCCCATATTGTTGAACGCAACATTGTTGGCCTTGTTTTAATACTGTTGGGTAACGTTGCGTTGACTGCTGTTGGATTGTGTTAACTTTGTTTAAATTTTCATCCAATTGTCATCCATTTTCTTTTTCGAAACGAATTTTATATTAATAACTTCGTTGCTTCAAGAACTAAAACTAAACAATATGACTTTTGACTTATATAGAAATAAGAAAGCCGTACTACACAAGATGTATGATGCTATCCCATGTTACCTGCTAATATCAACATTAATCCTAATCTTCAATATTCAACCAATAGCAGGGACTAACGCATGCGCGAGGGTAACCATGGACAAGCGTATATCCCATCCAGGATGCACTACGGTCACCATTCCTGTGACCGTCTGTCGAGGAAACTGCAAATCTAGTTCCAGACCTCTGATGGATAAACCGTGGTTTACGACGTCCTGCGAGTGTTGTCGAAGAACCGACGATGAATTACGAACTGTGGAATTGGTGTGTTCTGATGGGGCAACCATTGAGAAAACTGTCGCGTTTGTCCAAGATTGTAAATGCCAGTCTTGTAACATTTCGTAATATTGCCACATATAAATGAATATGGTTAAAATAGTACACGTAATATGCTGATATTAAATAACTAGATAGTTTGAAGGATGAGGGATACACATTGTCAATAAAAAATGTTTGAAGCACATTAGAATTCAGAGATCTCGCAGATTTAAGCCTTGGGAAAAGAAGGAAACATTTGAAAATAATAATTTTTTCTCTAATGTTTCCCCGTTTGCTCTCTCTCGAGAACATTGTTTCGGACTCAGGAAGCAGAAGTATTTACCAGAAACCCATTTTGTTTCCCGAGTATTTTGTTCTGGAGACAAAGTTTCCTAGTTTGCCCACCTTCCAGAAACACGGCTAGGAAACAAGATTTCTTGATTTACTCGTCTTGGGAAACATGGCTAGGAAACAATGAATGTTGGCTGACCATAATGAAACCTGCCAAACTCTAGTTTTTTGCGAAGCGTGAAGAGGTTCAAGATTTGACTTGGTTAGCTACAGCTGCGGATTGAAGATCTTGAACTACTTGAAAAATACAAGCAGAACTTAGACGTTTCGAAAGAAGGCCTTTTGTAGGGAAGTTTGTAGCGTGAAGTTAATGGTAGTTAGTACCCTTCCGGAAATGGATCAGGGTTAGGGGTAAGGTGGAGGGTAAGGACAGGTGAGTGACCAGTGAGGCTCAAAACTTGAAAAAATCTTACACGAAGTTTCTTGAGGTAGGTACAGTAGTTGAACTTGAAAACTTCATGTAAGAATATTTAACTTGGGTCTCCAACATGGCTGGGAAAAGTGAAGAAGATTTGTTAAACTTAGACGGATTATTATCCGTCACAAATAGTTTAGGAAGTGATATTTTAGGTTCAGATGGAGCAAATAAATCCAGCTCTTTTCCATTCTCGTCAAAATACGGTTCCAATTCTGCTATGGTATTGTATAACTTTGTTTTTATTGTGTCACTTTCACACTTTGTGTGTTCTAGCTGAATCAAGTTTGATTCCGTCTGTAAGTCTGTGGCAATTAATATAGTTTCTAAAAGCAGTGAATAATTCTCTGTAGGTTGACCTGGAAATGGATTTACCCACAGTCAAAGATATGCCTACATTGGAAAGCATTCTTAACGAGGTAGAAATTCTTCGATTATGAAAGTTGGGGTTTATAGAGTTAGAACTGCATGGGTTAGAATATGGTTATATTTTAAGATTAAGATTGGGATATAAGAATGCACTCTTGGCTATAGAGCCTCATTTGACCACGCCTTAAGTGTGTGGGAGGGGGTTGTGCACCTTGAGATCTCCTGCATCTCTGCTGGCAAAATCTCATCAAAACATAAGGTTTTATTCTACCATGGCAAACATGCTTTAGGAAGATGATATTGGGGACATTGACCTGACTGTGGATATCAAGTTAGAAGACATTCTCAATGAACAAAAACCACCAGGCAGTGATACAAACAGGTAGTGGTGATATATAAAATATGATTTGAAAGACTTGAAAGATTTTTTCTGCACTCACTTGGTTGAAACTGAATATTGGAGTAGATGGATATACACCTTTTATACCTAACCAGGAATGGTTGTGAAAAATGCAACATTAGGTCCTCTGGCAGGAATCGAAAGGCTGCAGGCCGGGTCACAGGTTTAATTTTTGCCAGAGGACCTAGTGTTGCATTTTTTGCAACCGTTTCTGGTTAGGTATAAAAAGTGTATAATTTTCTGAATATGAGTATAGGTAATTACAATAAACAGTCCATTGCACTGCTTACAATATTGTGAGTTGAGAAATTCTTCAATGTATTTCAGTGGAGCTGATGAGCGGAAACATGGTTCAATTCTTAGAAAAGTCATTTTGAGAAAAATATCTGCACAAGTGCAGTCTGCATCTGTAAGTATTTCATATTTTACCATACACAATTTCATTATCAAGCAGTTATATGATGAAATGAATGTTTAAAAAATGGTTTTTGTCTATGTTTATCTGTTATGTTTAGAGTCGTATTGAAGCTGGTTTGCCGACTGCTATGGTAGGTTTCCCAGCTTTGTGTGCATTTTGTTGATGAAGTAGTATTTTAGTAGAACGTTCACTCATAGATGCTTCCCAAATTTGCTGCCTAGTTGAAAACTTGTGTCAGTTGTATTTACAATGGATGACATTGTCGCCTCCATTTCAAGCTATAACTCAACTCACACAAATTTGGGAAGTGTCATCTATTGCATATTTTTCAGACCAACAACCAGATATCAAGTGCTGTGCTTTACCATTTCAGGCTGTTTCAACAATCATTGCCGTAGGCACGTCTCATGGAATTGTTTTAATATTTGGTGAGCAGCAGTTCTTGGAAACAGTTTTAAAGCTTCCTCTCATAAATGGCTTCGAGTATATGCATAATTACTGTATGGTATAATAAGGATGTTTCATGCAAAACGATACTAAAACACAGTTCGATCAATATACTGTATGTGATATTTTTGTTCTAGATGCTAAACAAGCATTGCAGTTAGTACTGGGAACAACAGCTCAAGGTAATGTGTGTAAAATGTATTTTCTGAGAAGCACATGTTCGTTGAACCGCTTCCAACTGCAGCTATAATATTGATGGTAGTTTTTTGTCTGTGAGGATTTATCAAAACCCCAAGGACCGAATATGCGCGACATAAAAGTGTTAAATTTGAAATGTGTTTTCTTCATTACATTCAACGTATTGCACTGTATTTAATTGATTTGATTGAAGAGATGTTTTTTATATTTGTGTAGGTGCTGAGTATGGTGCAGTGACAGCATTGGGAATAAATACAAATTCAACCAGATTGCTTTGTGGGCATGCTAAAGGCCAAGTAATGCCAAATATATGCTAATTATGCTTGTCTGTTTGTTTGCCTGTCTATGTCCACCTATCTGTTTGTTTGTTTGTTTGTTTGTTTGTTTGTTTGTTTGTTTGTTTGTTTGTTTGTTTGTTTGTTTGTTTGTTTGTTTGTTTGTCTGTCTGTCTGTCTGTCTGCCTGTCTGTCTGTCTGTCTGTCTGTCTGTCTGTCTGTTTGTTTGTTTGTTTGTTTGTTTGTTTGTTTGCCTGTCTGTTTGTCAGATCTCCGTTTTCAGAAGCCAGAAGTCCGTTTTTAAATGCCAGAACTACCTTTTCAAATGCCAGAACTCCGTTTTCAAATACCAGAACCCCGTTTTCAAATGCCCAAACTCTGTTTTCAAATGCCCAAACTCTGTTTTCAAATGCCAAAACTCCCTTTTCAAATACCAGAACTCCGTTTTTAAATGCCAGAACTACCTTTTCAAATGCCAAAACTCTTTTTCAAATGCCAAAACTCCCTTTTCAAATACCAGAACTCCGTTTTTAAATGCCAGAACTACCTTTTCAAATGCCAAAACTCCCGGTTTTCAAATGCCAGAACTCTGTTTTCAAATACCAGAACTCCGTTTTCAAATGCCAGAACTCCGTTTTCAAATACCAAAACTCCTTTTTCAAATACCAGAACTCCGTTTTCAAATGGCAAAACTCTGTTTTCAAATGCCAAAACTCCCTTTTCAAATGCCAGAACTCCGTTTTCAAATACCAGAACTCCGTTTTCAAATGCCAAAACTCTGTTTTCAAATGCCAGAACTCCGTTTTCAAATGCCAAAACTCCCTTTTCAAATGCCAGAGCTCCGTCTTCAGATGCCAGAATTGCGTCCACCTGTCTGTCTGTTTGTTTGTTTGTTTGTCTGCCTGTACCATAGATAATTTGTTTTTTTTAAATATTTTCCAGATAACAATGTGGGATTTATCTACTGGTAAATGTGTTCGATCAATACTAGATGCTCATCCTCCTGGTAGTGCAGTACTTCATGTTCTGGTAAAAGTTTATATTAGTCAGTTGTGCACATCGCTTTCTTAATGTATTTAGATTGAATTTATAACTTGTATTCTCTTGTATTTCTATCTACCGAATTCTGTTGATGTCCATTATATAATTTTGATTTTTCTTGCAGTTTACAGATGATCTAACAGAAGCAGTTTGCAGTGACAGTGGTGGATCTGTCTTTCTTCTCACTTTCAAGTAAACTAATATATTCAGAGTCTAGATCAATAAGTTACTTCCTCAAAAAACAATTATCCTAATGGCCTATATCGTTTCTTTTATAGGAAGGTTATTGGTATGAGGACATATGAGTCACAAGTAGTCTTCTCAGGAAGGTTAGTACATATATGGCAGTTTGTTTAAAAAGAGTAAATTTTAAATGGCTTTTCTGCCGAAAGAAACTTCAACCTATCCACGCTATGACGAAATAATCGATCCGATTTTGTAACAATACCAACAGCTAGTTTGTATATCTTTTATTTCGTGATCTTAGCCGTGGTGAGGTGTGTGTTCTTGCGCCACTGAACTTCCCTGAATCTTTGAAAGATGATCCATTATCAGAACGATCTTTATTGGCACTGGCCACGTTAACAAAGGTTTGATGCATTTCAAAACGGTTGTTGAGAAAACTCAAATATGAATGTACTTGTTAACCCTAAGATGGTTCTATCGTCGTTTTCCTTAGGTGGTTGTTCTGGCGTTGAAGCCACTTTTTTCAGTTGTATTCACTTATGGTCTAAAGGTAATGTTGTTTTTGACAATCGATGAAAACTTTTAGTCTCACTCCTTGTAAAGAGGGTCACAGGTTTGATTCCCGCCAGAAGGAATTTTTTGCAACCGCTCCTGGTCAGCTCAATATAAATTTCACCCTCGAAATTTTCTGTTAATCTCAGAAAGTATTTTATTTGTGTTTTCTCTTTCTACAGGGCTCCCCAGATAGTCTCCCACTTCTCGCCTGGAATTTTGTGTTAATTCAACACGTTGATATGACCAAATTGTTGAGCCCAGTAAGTAAACGTCTAGTAAAGTCTTGCGTTCCTAATAGACCTTTCCCCTTATGAGTGAAATTTTGATCTAGACAAACCTGGACAACAATTTCATCACAGCTTGAAAGAGCATCACAAAATTAGTAATATTCCGAAATTTCGTTGCGAAATGTTGTAAAATGCGGATAATATAGCCTTGCGAAGTTTGCCGTTTTTCAGTCATTTTGTATTACGTACGGGAAATTGATGATCAGATGATCAAACTGATTATCAATTTCCTTGTAATACAAAATGACTGAAAAACGGCAAACTTCTCAAGGCTATATTATCCGCATTTTACAACATTTCGCAACGAAACTTCGGAATATTACTAATTTTTTGATGCTCTTTCAAGCTGTGATGAAATTTTTGTCCAGACTTGTCTAGATCAAAATTTCACTCAAAAGGGGAAAGGTCTATTGCAATTCGGCTAGTTGCAATAAAGGATGATTAGAACCGTTACCTAATCAGATTATATTTCTATCTCGTAGGTCCTGGCATTTGCACGAGAATCGAAGATTTATTTATTTGGGGTAAGAGATTTTTATTGGTCAGTTGGTCAATTAGTAATTTGACTCCTGAGTATGTGACGATGATGAATTCATTTTTAAAGGCTCGCGCTACGATTGATGATGGAAACATTGTCTTCACAAAACTGGATGAAATTAAAACTGACTTTAAAATCATTTCAATCCATGTGAGTTTCTTCTATAAATACTGTATATTTCTTTCTAGCGCTCTTTTCAGTTTTGTTTCTAACGCTGTGATTGGGTTCAACTTAATATGATTAATAATATTATTTTTGTTTATTGATAGTGGTTAGACTCGCAGCTTATTGCTCTGGTTGATGCTCTTGAAAGGATTCATTTGATGGACGTGAAGAATGGAGAGATACTTGAGGTATTTGTAGCGCCTTTGAGTATAGACCATAAATCTTCAAAGGATTTCGACACACAAAACTACATTTCTATTGCTAAAATTGGACCAATCTGATTCCATATCTAATTAGTTCAATCTGGGAGCTCAGGTAATATTTTAAAATTGAGGAACTGGATAGCATGGTGAACAAAAAATGGAATTTTCAAAAAATGAAAAACAATGGAACATTCTGAATTCTGATCTCTGGATCGTGACTGGATGGCATTATTGTTATATTAGTAGTAAATAGATATGCAGATATGACCACCTTTTATTGCTGGAAATCTTTTTGCTAAAAATTTCATGCAATATTTGGCCTATCTTAATATATACCAATGTTTTCGTGATTGTTACAGTTTTGTTACACAGTTATTGAGCTATCATTGAAAGGCTTAAGGGTTTCAGAAATTATTTTCTTAATGATTGAGTTTTTGTTTCTCCAGACCTTGGACCTGGATAGCATACAGCTTGTCTACAGTAGCAGTTTCTTCAAATCCTTATCCAATGGTGGAAACGTCAGCGAAGCACTGGTATTATTAACTTTCTACCTTTGGTAAAGTCTTTTGAAGTTGTCTAAACATTTGTAAGTGTCGTTTCCTTCTCGTCATTTAGGCTTTAGCCAGCGAACATTCATGTTATCAATCTGTCGTAAGCTTCAATTCACAGCTTTTCATTTTAGGACGGCAGGTTTGTTAATATGGATTACTTTCTTTTCACTAACAAAGCTTCGGATTGATAGAGATACAACCATCTGAAAAATACAAGGAGAACTTGGACCCTTCCTACTAACTTTCCGACGCTCGAAACGTCGAAGTCCTCCTTGTATTTTTCAGGTAGTTGTATCCCTATCAATCTGAAGCTTTCTTATTATTGCCACCACCTACACTCTCACAGAACGTTTAATTTCACTGTCTAAACAAGAATGCTTTTAATTTTCGACAAAATTCGCTAACTACACTAGCGTTAAACGTATGTGTACGAGGGGAGAACAATATTTGGGGAGGGGGGGGGGGGTAGTATTGAATGCGAAAGATAATGGGCAGAAAATTGTCCACAACATTTAGCTACGATAACCTTTCCGGTAATTACGTCACGACTAACACTGTTTTCAACTTAGGACCACCTTAAATGGAATAGATTTCAAGTTTGTTTCTCACGGGCTATGGTCAGAGAAGCACAAAATCCTTCTTGAACACATGCATAAAAAATAATTTTGGATTTTGACCAATAAATGTGGAAATAAGCTTACACACGAAAACGAGGCCATAGCTTCTCTTGGCCCCTCAGCCTCATTTTCGTGTTTAAGTTTATTTTATTTATTGGTCAAAATCCAAAATTGTTTTTCATGCATGTGTTGAAGAAGGATGTTCTGCTTCTCTGACCATAACCTGTGAGAACCAAACTTAAAATCGATTCCATTTAAGGTGGTCCTAAGTTGAAAACAGTGTAGTTGTGACGTAATTACCGGAACGATCTTTTTGAGTAAAATTGCAATGAATTCTCTTTTTTCTATAGTCAATCCATGTCTTCACGATTCGGAGCTGGGATGACGTAAGTTGATAATATCATGAGAGATATATTGTCAAATGTCAGTATACAGTATTTAATCGAGCAATCTTTCATTTCAGAGAATTTCTGTGTTTGTGAAACAAAATGATTTCATTGGTGCTCTGAAGTTGGCATTGTCATTTTACAATCGGACGGCTAGAGGCGTTCTAGGTATTTACTGTATTAGCTAACTTCTGTCTAGCTTGAACAATAGGCTTAATACACTTATCATATGCAAACATTCTCTAGGTCTGTACGGAAATAGACAACAAAAAATGAATACTGTAGCTCGTATGGTAAGTACAAAAATACCATTCTCATTCCTCGTTCACTTTATGTAACAACCCGTATCAACTCTGTTCTGAAATTTCTAGATTGAAAATCTTATGCGTCATTATGTTGATAAACTGTTAGAGAAGATAACGGAAAATGCAAACAATAAAAACTTACGATCGTATTTCAAGGTAAATAGGGATACATATTAAGGTGCCATGGTTTGTGTCTGAAATCGTTGAAGAAAATTAAGGACTGTGTGACGTTTCGATTGATACATTTCCGACTAAGACATGATAAATACATTTTGTGTACTATGTACTTTAGGACAATATTCCGGTTTGCATTGACTATTGCGTGGCTATAGACAGAATGTAAGTACGGAAATTTTATTCTTTCTGTTTGAGTAATACAAACAAACTTTAGTATCTTCAACAACAATGATAACTTGCCATGTACGTTAATATATTGAATGAAACAAAGCATTTCACGCTTCTGGTGTCAAGTTGACATGATGCAATTTATGCGTTTTGTAGAGAGCTACTGTTTTCTGACATCTATGATAAATTATCATCTGTTGATATCACGAAAGAAGTTTTTCTCGAAAGTTTGCAGTCTTATATTGAAGAAGATAGGTACGCGAATTACAACTGGACAAATAACTTTATGGTCAATCAGTCGTGTATGTATCATAAGAAGGGGGGGGGTGCCACACATGAGGAGGGGGGGGGGGTGCCAGCAACCCACGATGTGTTTTACTTCTGCTTTCTTTTTAATAAATGATCCCTCATTTTTTTTCCAATTTTCAGACTTGTTTCGCTAACACCTATTGTTATGAAGGATTTCGTTGGTAATTATGAAATATTTCTAATTTTAAGTTCTTTGTTGGTTTGCATGGCGATAAAACATATAATACTTTTGTTTGTGGAAACACCACGTAAATTTATTACTGCAAGTAATAAATATACGTGGTAATTATTAATTAATTTATTTGCAGTAATAAATTTACGTGGTGTTTCCACAAACAAAATATTATATTTCTAGTTTTGTTGGAGTATTTATCTTCAGCTATTTTCCTACTTTTCTCAACAGGCCATTACCAAAAGATGGAAAGGCTGAAAGATGTTGAACGATGTCTTGTTCATCTCGACTTAGTTAACCTTGATATAGACCAGGTAGAGTTTACATCTTTACTAAAAAAAAACAAAACTAATTTGTCAACATGGAACTACATACGACTGAGGACTGAGGTGAAATTATAATCAGACAATTGCATATTTGAAGAAAGAGATGAAGACACAATATCACCCAGCACCCTTTCAATTCTATAAAAAAAGTCCTACCAGTTTCTTTCATTTGCCAGACTGTCAAGTTATGTTGGAAGTATGAGCTCTATGACGCTGTCATATATGTCTATAACCGTGGAATGGCTGATTTTGGAACCCCGCTTGAGGTATTGAATGTTGATATTTGATTTTCCTGCCTACATTTCTAACTAGCAAAACTCCAATAAAGATCATAATCAGCAAAAAATCACTTCTAAAACAAGGTGGGATCTTCAAAAAGAACACAAAATGATACAGAATCTTTTTATATGTGCATTAGCAAATACATGCCGGTCTCACCCAGGCGACTTTTCATCTCACCCACGCAAAACTCTTCAATAATTTTTCATTTTTAAGGAACTCCTGCGAATTTTAAAAGAGGCGTCGGAATCCAAAGTCCCATTGAATGGTAGCGTGTTTAAAAATAGTTCATGACCTTCATTGAATTTTCAAGGCAATGTTTTATATTAATTCTTCAATGATTTGTAGAATCCACTCAAGAGCTTGGCTATAAATTGCTTGTCTATATCAGCTGTTGTTTTGCTGGCAGGGCTTACTCAGTGGGAAATATTCCAGAAGAACTGGTTAAACCGGTTAGAGAACAGGTATTTTCTTCTTTTTCTTAGACCTTTTTCCCATTTTACCCAGGATTGGTCGACCAATTAAATGCTCTTTCTTACGAAAATACAGTAGTATATATAGGTATACGAAAATATAAACATGCATAAAAGGAAAATCTGCACCGTTTTTGAAGTTTTTGACAAGCTGTAATATTCTTGTTTGTTTTGTTATGTAGGTCGCAGAAACACTCATAAAAACTAGCACGGTGGATAGCTCTAATGGTGGGTGATGATGCTGTTCATAATTCGGCCGCAATGGTTAATGTATTGTTTCGTATCTATAACGATATGAGTTCGATTCGTCTAGTTTTCCGATTGCAATGTCTCCGTGATTGAAAGTAAGGAACGTGTTCGCAGTTTTTCTATACCAAATACAACGGCAATTCTCTAGTTTTTTTCACTCCTCGTGCATTTAGTAATAGAGTAACTGAAAGACCTATTTAAAGTTTCCGAGAATTTTGGAAATTAAATTATAAAATTTCAAAAATTCTGGAAAATTTAAAAAAAAATTTTAAATTTAAATTTTTTTTAATTTCCGAGAATTTTTTATTTTCCTCTCATAATTACCTTGTTACTTCATCGATGTTTCAGGTCAGACTTATCCGAATATTCGAACCCTGTTAGACTTCGATACAGCTGAATTTTTGAATGTTTTATCTTTGGTAAGTATTTGCTGTTAAGATAATATGTTATTTATGTCTTTCCAATGGTCAATACACCATGTTATATACCATGCGCTTGAGTTGTGCACGAGCTGATAGCCGACGAGGTGCTTGGCACCGAGTCTGTTATCAGCCACAAATGACGAGAGCGAATGGTATAATTGTTTTACAATAAATATCTTTTATTTTTTAGGCTTTCGAAGAGACTGATTTTAACGAGGATTGTGGGTAAGGATGTCTAGAAGTTGAAGTATTTTTGTCGATAGAAATTTCGAGTAATAATAATAATAATTACAATATTTAGTCGGGAGTCCATTCACAAAAGTGATTTTCAGTGGAGCCCTGATAAAAAAATAAAAAATATATAACTAACAAAAGTGAAATTGAAGATTATATACATTTACTGTATTAGACCTAACCTTTTGTTTGATCACATGGGAAATTTTGAGGCTATTTTACATCAGACAACAAATCAGATTCCTATATAATCTCGTCTTTCAATCATACATGGATGTTGCATTATGTTTTGTTGTATATTTTTAAGAAGAGTTGAATGTATAATTATGACAGTATTTGTTTTGTTTTAGTATTGTGGATGGCACTCCAGGGAGACAGAGATTCATCAATGTTTTGCTTGAAGTCGTGGTTCAAGGAACTGGCTTTACAGTAAGGAGCACTTGTAATACCCATGACCAGCTGTATACAACACTGAATTAATAAACTACCATGCAGGTTTATACTAGCTCTCTGGAATTCCAGTAAGAGTAATTCTTTAATGGTGCAGTGTTATGTTACTGCAGACGGAACCTAACTTATTTATTTCTGTTTATTTCTTATTGTTTGTTGATTTTCTTTAGCCAACTCAAGTCGGTTCGTTTTTTACATTCATGGCTCGTCAGATGGCGAAGCACAGCGGAATTTCTTTAAACAAAGTACTCTTTGAACAAGTAAGATGTGTGTCGTGTAAAAAACGTTATACTATTATGTTTTATGCATTCTTACAATATCATGACTCATAATCGAAAAATTTCGACAGGTTTTGGAGTATTTGTCCAACCCTGAAGACATGGTCCGTCACAACGAGCGAGAACAGGTTGGTCCATACGTTTTCGTTGTACCGGATAGCTTTTCGTAGCGACGTCAAAAAAGAACTATCCGTACCCTGTAGGAACGCTATTTTCAGAGGAATTATTGCAAAGGAGAGATGTTGTTTCGCTCAGCTTCTGAAAGTTGTACATTCCGTATCGGATGAGTGCTTTTTCACGCCGCTACGGAAACCTATCCGTTATAGCGTTGAAGTAAACAACTTAATGATAAAAAATATGAATAATTTGTGATCACAAGGGAATCCACATTCTTTAACAACATTGTCATTCTAAACACAATGTTATTAAACTAAGCATTTTCACGTCTTTGCATGAAGCAACGTAAAAGCTTGTTGCAACGTTAAAGCTGTTACATAAAGCCTTTTCCCGAACTTACATGTTTGTAAGGTTATTGTAAAAAAGCTTCAAGCATTTATTACAACAATCAAATTCCTTCGCCATTCTTGAACTGTAATCGAGAGCGCGTCGTTGAGTTTGTGGCGTCGCAGATCTTAAACTCTGTGAACATAATGGGTACATTGTCGTTGATAACCTGAACTTCGAAAGGAACTACAGAGGTTCTTTTGTTTCCTTCAATGTGGATCGATGGATGTGAACGAAATTTATAAACGTTTAGGCGCTGTTGGAATTGCTGGATTCTGGAGCACTGAAGCAATTTGATGAAGAAAGAATCTTGGTTTTGGCAGAAAATGGCAAATTGTATGTATAGGAATTTTTTGAAAAGCTACTCTGAAGTTCTTTTCTACGCTTTCGTAAACTAATCCTAGAACAATATATTGTTCTCGCTTGACGGAGCGTGAGAGTTGATAAAACTCAAATTCTCGCTTCTCAGCTCTCCTCGGGGATTACTTAATCATATTGATTATCCAAAGTTTTGTACATTGAAAATAGATGGTGCATGTAGAAGTCACGTGGTAAGTCACGTGTCTCATTTCATTTCAATGACTTTCCAGCTACCAAGTGTGTGAAATCCTGTACATCAGAAGACGTCAGTACGGCAAAGTATTGAGCTGTTACTTCAGAGATCAATCGCGACAGGTAGGGTAATATTCAGCATTTTATTCCCAGGGAGGCACCAGCCAGATCTGGTTGGAAGAGTGCTCATCAAGCTTTGGTCATGGTTCAGGTTGCGATTGTTGACCAAATGCATAACCACTACAGAGGGAGTTAGTCTTGCACTAATTTTGTCTCTATTTTTTGTATAACTGCACTGATTGTGATTTGATAAGGAATTTTTGACCCCGCTGCCTTTTCCCCCCGTTCGCCAAGGCTAGAAGGGGTAAGCACCCCTGCACTCCCCCCCCCCCAATAAATCCATCTCTGTTTGTTTCCAATTGTAAGCTCGTGAATAATTTTATTTTTAGCATCAAGCATTTGAATTTGTAAAAGTGAAGATGACTGATGATTCTTACACAGACCTTGACAGAGCTGAGTTGAAACAGACTGTACTAGAGAGCTTACTGGTTTGTACTTAACAATATCTGATAGCAAAAGCTAGAATGGTTTCTACCTAGTCAAGAAATTTCAATCTGGAATTTATTTTTCACAGGATTTTGTTGCAGTTGACACTCGAAGAACAGCACACATGATCATGGCTCATTTCCCTGATTCTTTAAAGTGGGCAGTTCAAAAATTAGAGGTAAGAAGCCAAAGGTCGTAGGTTCGATTCCCACCGTGGCCAGGCATATTTTTCAAGCTTGCCCGCTGTGGATAAACACTCAGAGTAACATCACAAGCATCTTATTCACCTGAGTACATTACACCAACACAGCAAATATCATAATTAGAAGTAAGTTATAAGGATTGCAGGAACTGTGTTATGAACGGTTTGCCGTAGCTAACCTGGTGTATATATGTATATTCTAGGACCAAAGACAAATTCTCTATAACTTTTTGAAAAGTGTTTTTGATATCAGGTAAATATGTTGTTCCGGTTACCTTATAAGTGTCCATTTGTATGTGTTCGCAATAACGTTGCATGACGTTCACATGAAGGCTGTGAGATCATTAATCCATATTAAAATTCATCATTTATTTAGTGAGTCGTCGTTGTCGAAATGTGAACCGCCATCAGATGCAACAACGAATGAAACGTTTATCGAGTTGATGTGTGAGTTTGAACCGTCTGCAGTTTATCGTCATTTGCGAAGCGCCGACAATTATAGACTGCAAGAAACTTTAGAGGTATTGTTTTTGAGAGCTTTTGTGTTGTGTTCATCTGTTGCATTGCATTACATTGTATTGCCTTCTATTCTATTCTATTCTACATCATCTTAATGTATTGGAAAATTATTTCAGATTGTTAAAAGGTTTGATATTATTGACGCCACGGCATACTTGTTGGAGAAATCTGGCGATGTCAAAGGAGCATTTTCTCTATTACTTCAGGTGAGCCAGCAGACTTATATACTTGCAATATGCATTTTGTTCAGAATTAAAGAATAACGTATAATGTGTTTTCATTCTGGTTGAAGGCGTTGGAGCAATGTGTTAAGAACGTCAATCAAGGGTTTACCAATCGAGTGAATTCAAAAGGTAGGTGAATTTATACATGAACTTGTGATTAGAGCTCGACCACTGGACTCTGTAGCGCAGTTGGTTAGAGCTGTAAGCTCAGTTCGTTAAGGTATCTGAGAGGTATTGCGAACAGGCAAGCCAATACTGCCGATTTTTCCACATTACACACCGAATTGTGTAATTTTATAGCAATTGTTTGAAATCTTTTTATTCCAGAAATTAGTATGGTGTTGTCAACATGCAAGGCGACTCTCCTAGTCATCATTCAATTGTGTCAGAGAAATTCACGAAGAATGGACGAATACGAACGCGAGGTTAGAAGGAAAATTTAAGTAAAATGTAGTTTCCCTGGACACTATGCCTGTCCTCCAGTTTTTAATGGACTTTATTTAATTGTAGAACTTGTGGTTTCCTTTGTTGGAAGTTGTCATGTCGCCGCAACGAAAACTTTCAGACATGACCAGCGACCACTTTCTAGGTAATTATTTTAATATTTGTAGTAACACTGGATCGATAAAAGATGATCCTTACTGGACCTCTAGGGTGAACAGTTTAAAACTGATACAGCCATCCAGTATAAATAAAGGTTATTATAACTGCATTGTCTTTTAAAATTACAGCATTTAAGGATCTCACCCGGCATGTATTGAACAGTATGACTGGTCACATTTCATTGCCAATGATATTACAGAAAATTATGCAGGTATGTCTTTAATAACAAGAAATTTCAAAGTTTGTGTCAATCGTCATAACCTTGCTCTTTGCATTACTTTCTTATGTTCTGTAGGACCCGACGTACAATTCTGGAAAATTTGGTGAAATTCGAGAATTAATTATGGGAATGCTGGATACATACAGTTATGAAGAGGTAACGATTTCTTACTAGCTTTGTGTTAACTTGATTGTTCTATCAGTTCTAAGTTGTTCTTCATAGAAGTCCAGTGAGAGGTTCTAATAGGTGTTTTTGTAGATGGCATAATCGAGTGTGAATTTTATACATTTCTTAGGGAGGGGGGGGGGGTCCGTGCTTGATCGAACCTGCGGCCCTGTGATTCCGGTGCAGTGCTCTAACCAACTGAGCTAGCAATATCACGAAGTAATGACGGTTTTGTGTTGCTTTCTTTTGTACAGACGTTACTAACGACAACTAACCATCTGTTAGCCTCTGATCTCCATCGTTCACTGAACCATATGAAAGGTTTGTTAAATCACGGTATTAAACCACGGCAGTTCATTTGTCAACTGTGTCATCGGCCTATTATGAGAGGGGAAATGGCTCCAAAACATGGCGATCTAATCATATTCAGGTAATAAGTCAATCTTTTTTTTTTTAATTATTTGATGGCGCATCCTTGGTCGGACCTCCACTCAAGGTCTTAAAATAATTGAGGAGAAAGAGCTACCTTTACATTGACATCAGTAAATGGTTAGACGTTCGCGATTTCTGGGATAAGGACGTTAAATCGTAGGTAGCTCGGAGCCCATATCAATTGGACAAAAGCTGTTGGGAAATCCGCTCACCAATGAGTGAGAAACTCTAAGATGGTCAATTGATTGAGATGGGACGAGCCCACTCTCCTCCGCAGAGGCTTTGTGTTTTGTTTCGGTCTTGTTCGAACTTTGCAGGCGGGATAGTCGCGGGCTAGGCAGGCTAGAAGAAAATTATAGGGGATAAATAGGGATGAAAGGGGAGAGGCGGAGCGCGGGGGAAGCTCCCTAGCCTGCCTAGCCCGCGACTATCCCGCCTGCAAACTTCGAACAAAACCAAAACAAAACACAAAACCTCTGCGAAGGAGAGTGGGACTAGTCTATATCACAACACAGATCGTGAATAAATCTGAAATATTCTTATTATCGTATACAACTGACTTCTAATATTTCACTACCTAAAGGTCCATACAGACTGGACGCGATTTGGCAACGCGACGCGAATTTTCATTTTTTAAAAACAATTAAAACCGTCAACGGATAAAAAATTTACAAGATATGCAGACCAAATAGCTAAAATTGCTTAAGTGGTTCCGAATATTTGAAAAACATAGAAAAATATTGAAGTTAAATGTCATTGAAAGTTGAAAATTCGCGTCGCGTTGCCAAATCGCGTCCAGTCTGTATGGACCTTAAAGCTCATCGAATACTCGTATGTTAAGGTGTCGCCACTGTTGTCATACTGAATGTCTGAGAAACGAGTTTGGTGAGAACACGGAATGGTCTTGTCCAGTATGTTCCAAGAAAAATATCACACGTCGAGCTAGTTGCACTGACGATCAGACATCAGATTCAACACAAACCGAGGTATAAATAGGAGGGTGATTTATATGATTGTGAATATGATTAAAGCAACTTCGCCAAATTCCAATCATAATAAAAATATTTCATTTCAGAGATCGAAGAAAAATCCTACGTTGAGCAGTGAACAAACAGACGCTCTGAGCCGCTTAAGAAAACATCTTAAAGGACCATCAAGGGTATGAATTGTTTCGGAATCTCATTTTGAATCGCAGTTTGACATAAATTAATGTATGGTTTATTGTATGGTTTATTGTATGGTTCACTGTATGGTTTATTGTATGGTTTATTGTATGGTTTATTGTATGGTTCACTGTATGGTTCACTGTATGGTTCACTGTATGGTTTATTGTATGGTTTATTGTATGGTTTATTGTATGGTTTATTGTATGGTTCACTGTATGGTTCACTGTATGGTTTATTGTATGGTTTATTGTATGGTTTATTGTATGGTTCACTGTATGGTTTATTGTATGGTTTACTGTATGGTTCACTGTATGGTTTATTGTATGGTTTATTGTATGGTTTATTGTATGGTTTATTGTATGGTTTATTGTATGGTTTACTAGCTGTATGGCTTCATGTATGGTTTACCTTTAACATTCGAGCCTTTGGTCCTGGTCTAGGATTTGATTGACGTTGGACAAAGTTACAGTTAGGTCGGACACCAATTTACTCTGGTCGGACAAACAATAATAAAGTTCAGTTTCACATAGATTGGACAGAATGTCCAGTGGTTTCCTCTCTGCGTCGGGCAATTTTACAAATGGATCGGACAATGTCTGTGAACGACCTATATTTTAAAGGTTCGTTTACACTTGCAATTTGCGATTTTAGCTGCGATTTTCTTCTGGTGATGGATGTGAACGAGTAGATAAGTTGTGAACGTTCAGATGAGGGTACATATACTCCAAACATTCGTAACTCATCTACTCGTTCACATGCATCAGAAGGAGAAAATCGCAGCAATAATTGCAAGTGTAAATGGGTCTTAATCGTGCATCGCTACATTCCGTTATCACCTTTAGCATTGAAGCTTCCGTTTCTTGTCGTTATAGTTAAAAATGTTGAACGAGTTATCAAAAGACAACGACCTGAGTGGATTATCTTATCGAGGCAGGAGGTCAAGGTTTGCTTCAAAAAACTTATTGCAAGATGACGAATTTCAACTACACCTAGCACCTCGTTCCCAGTTCTCTTGACAGGTGAGACGTATCTATCTTGTTATAGCGCGGAAACACTGATCTATATATGTGTGGGTGATTGACACACTTGTCTATAAATTGGGATAAACAAACGTAAATTGAGATAAAGAAACGTCAGCCAAATTTGTCTGCGAATGTCAATCTTGGGGATTGCATTCATTCACAAAATTTGGAACCATTCAATTACAAAATGGCGATTCAAGATGAAATACGGTGCAGGGAAGTTCGACGGGTAACTTCGGTGCTGACGTGTGGACGCTATGTCAAAATACCAAAAGATTTGCGTCGATGAAAAATATTCCTCGTTATCGGTGGCGTTATCTGTGGGCAGTTGTCTTTGGTGGTTTTGAAGTGAACCAGTATGAATTAAGCTAGTCAGTAAGATGTGGAGGCAGATCTATTAGGTTTTATTTGAAAGTGCGTATACTAGTGGTGGTACTGCGAAATTTTAATATTTAAATTTTAAAGAAACTGTATATAAAGTGTAATTATAAAATTTTACTTAATGGGTTAATTTAAGGTGGTAGCAACTGGGGATAGCGAATTATAACATATGAATGGCAGCAAAATTTCGCGCGTTTAATAACATAAATGACGACTTCAATGATTGACAAACTGTTTAATATCCTAAAACTCCATACATGTGAATAGTAATTTTATTATATGTCATAGTAGTGAATATTATTGAATAATATTACAATGTCATCGTGAAATTATGTGCAACACAATAATATATTGAAAAACTATATACAAACTATTTGCACTTTCTATAAATAAGTTAATTCTAGTCTATTTAGCCCATAAATGTTACTTGTTGGTGGGCGACTTCAATGACTGAAAAATGGTGTGGTAAAAGTTATATAAATTAAACATGATATATATAGTGAATGCAATATAAATACATATTAAATACAAAAACACACAACGTTTATGGCCTTGCATGTTGTTGAGAAAACCGATTATACTCCACGTCGTGTTTCTTCATAATTTCGTCCAGTTTCTCCGTCCAAACATCATTAAAGTCTTGAACTTCTTGCATCAGTGTGTCCAACAGTTCCATGTTGGCCTTGACTGTCTCGTACCCAGGCCCTGCCAGGATTGCTAGCTCATCTGTGGGGGAAAACAAGCGCATGTGTAAATAATAGTAATAATATTAATTTACATTTATAGTGCGCAATGTGCCATTTGAATATGTCCACATGCGCATAACAATTTATATTGAAGAATTAATACAAGAAATTAATAAAACTATTTTATGTTCAATGTTAAAAAGTCTAAAAGATTATCTTACAAATATGCTTTATAATTAAATACGTCTTTAAAAGTCTTCTGAAATTGTGAACAGAACTTTTAGCCCTCCGGATGTGTGGAGGTAGGGGATTCCAAAGGGTATAGGTGCTACAGAAACAAATGCGCGATCAGCTAAAGTGGCCAAGGTCTTCACAGAAGGTGGTTGAAGAAGAAGTTGTTGGTTGGATCTAATGCTGTAACATAAAATGGGCTTGATGGTAATAAGTACCATATTAAATGAAGATAGATCAGTCAGATAACATACCGAATTCAGTGCTGTTCTTTCTGAAGTGCCTTCGATAGCCGTAATCCCATATCAAGCCACAAGCTGAAATAAACGCCAACATCCCGATACAGGAGAACAACACATTCTTATACAATTGTGTTTTTGTATCAAATAGACCAGCGGTGACTTCTTCTGATGCACTCTTCTTTGGCTCCTGAAACGGAATTGTTTGTATTTTCCAACTGTGTTGTCAAATATATTATTATATATAGGTCAAAATTGGCGAGATCTCACCCAGCTGCTTGGCTCGTTTCTCATATGAACACAAAATGAGGCTCTTACCTTTACAGGCGAGGTGTTGTCCTTGACAATTGTCGATATTTCGCTTTTCTTGCCCGAGACATAGTTATTAAAACATGTCTGTAGTTCTCGACTTGACATTGCGTCGCGGAACACGATGCCGTAAGAGGAATCGTAGGAAATAATCTTGTTCACTCGTACATGCGAGGAAATTTGTCCACGGTATGCGCCTGCAACGAAGCTGTCCAGCAGTATGCCAGCCAATGTGCGATCCTCCAGCGCCCTGAACATTGCTCCGAACTCAATGAACTCTGCAAAGAAATTGCTTGGAATTGTTAGTTACCTTTGAAATCCTGGATGTATGGAGTTATAATTGAAGTCAATACACGTTTATATACACCCTACCGGAAAGTACTTGACCTTAGCTACAGAGCCTCGCTTTCGTTAGTTAAAGCTCAATGTCACAATTACGAAAACGAGGCTCTATAGAGCGTTTGCACATGACGTCACAGTCGCCATGTCGGTGTTCCAATTCAAAAGAATTTTAATTAGACTCTTTTGTCTGGAACACCAACATGGCCGCCATGGCTTTTGCTGAGTTGGTTCCTGGGGGAATGAGTGGAAACGCTCTATAGCCGTGTTGACACACTTTCCGGATGGGTGTAGATTTCTGCGACGTACTCATAACGACACATCGGTTTCAATGCATCCCGGACATGCATTCTGACATGTGGAAATAAAATATGTTATAGAAAATTTCATTTCATAAGCACTGTAGGAAGTACACCAATTTAAGATAACCGTACCAAAAACCTTGGAATTCTTTTTCACACCAATACGATATTCTGTAGAGTTTTCCATAGCGCCAATCTAAAGTTAAAATAGATTTCATGTTCATATGAAAGTTTTTATGTCCGTTGAAACCCAATTCACTATCATTGACAACTAGAAATGCGAAGTATCTAAATTGTGAGGTGGCTGGTAACGGGCATACTGACTATATCAACAAGCTTTCGTTGCTAGGAATGCAACTACATGAAAAATATAAGGAGAATTTCGTATCAATGAAGCTTTATTAAAAAATACATAAATAGGTAACATGGTGTCCTTTCACTAAAGTGCTCTTCCAAGGAGCCATGTAAAAATACACAAACAAAAGAAATTAGTTAAATATATATACAATCCTATCATATTTACAACTACTTAATCTTAGTATTAAATTTCAAAGTTAGAAAGTTTATTTTTGAAAAGATATATTGAAGCCTGACTTCTTATTTCATCCGGAAGATCGTTCCATAACACAGCCCCACGGTAGCCGAAGCTCCTTTTACCAGCCTCCGTTCTGGGTCTAGGGGTGAACATACTGTGCGAACTACCTCTAAGATTGTGAGAGTGGACTTGCGAGGTAGGTTCAAAAATAGTATTAAGCTCGTTGGGATATAAATTATTCACTGCTTTATAAATACTTGTTGCGAGCTGTTTAGCAAGACGTTGGTCAAGAGTATTGACTATGTAGCTATACTTATTTGCTCCCTTAAACTTTAGGGAGGTAGAATATATATCGTACCTTGGCTCCATACAACTTAAGATTTGTGCTGAGAGTTATTGCAGTCAGTGATGTTGTTATTACACCTGTAGTTATAGAGATGACGACGAGACCAACCAGAATCCACACGATAGCAAACGCGCGAGATATATAACCTTTTGGAGAACGGTCGCCATATCTAGGAAAATACGCGCAAGTATTAATAAGATATTTGCGTGAAAGTTGATTTTGGCAATTATGGCGAAACTAAATAGAAAAAATAAATGACTAAGTTTCTCACCCAACGGTTGTCATGGTGACGAACGCCCACCAGAATCCTTCCAAAACACCTCGATGGAATGCACGTGGAAACTCATCAGGGTTGTTCCAAGTATCCTAAAAGAGATATGCGCGTGTGTTAGTTGGCAACCGTTATAATCCACAAAGGTTTTATAATGCGCTGTAATATCGTTATATAATTCCAGTTAACATATTATTCCAGTATCTTACCAAGGCCCACATTGCAATACCAGCCAGCCAAGCCATAACCAGAGTCAACAATAGTACAGGCCATGTAGAAAGAACTGAGTTCAGAATTGCTCTGGCACTTTTGCTCGGGTCCTCCTTCATCACCAGTACTGCGACACCGGGTGAACTGAACAGCGGTCTGTAGTACTCGCCCTTAAGACAACACAGATTTTTTGTAAATAGATTACATTGCTTAGCTTTGTTAAGTTTCCAAAAAGTATTCTAATGTTAGTCTATATTCGCATGCATGGTTGGCCTGTTATAATAAACAAAGTTGGCTACCTACCTATCTATCTTCTTACTAAACCAGCTAACTACCTATATATACCAACCAACATACCTTGTATTCTTCGTCTGTTTCTTTGCCTGCGATTGGAAATGAAAGATGTACGACCTGTTTTGAGCTGATCGTGTACTTAACTTCATTCAAGGATTCTTTGGGTGTCCCGTACCTAACATGGGAGATACCATGACCCTTACTGCAGTTACCACAGCATTTGTCAATCATTTTGTCGATGAGTAGTGGAAATATTCCCTTAGGATGGTCGTTGTCTTTTTCCTTGATCACAAAAGGTGGACTGTGGAACCAGTTGGTTGTGATGTTAGGTGGACAGTGACATTTTGCTGCGAAAATAATAAATCTATACTAGTCATTGCTATAGGGTTTTTGTGAGGTTTTTTTCTGAAGGTGTATAAAAAAGTTGCCTAGATTTGTGGATTATAAATATGAACCCAACACACTCGGCATCAGTTTACTAAAAACAATGTAGTTACAAGTCTTACGTATCACTTCCAGTGTTGCAGTGGCAAAATCCTGGCCGTACTTGTTGTTCGCGACACACACGTATTCGCCAGTATCGTCGGGATATCGCAGGCGCGGAATGGTCAGCGTACCATTGTTGTCATCGATGGCGTCAGCAGGCAACGACTTTCCATCAACTCGGGCAAAGGAACGTCTGGGACGTGGTTCACCTTGTACACGGCAATGGAAGGTGAATGATTCGGTTGCTGTATGAGTTAGTTGTTTGTTGCAGTCCTTATCTCCAAAGCATGTGATCATTCGAGAATCTGTGAAGATGGAAACAAATCGCGTTTAACTTCTTTATATGCTGGTTTATGTATGGTATGGTATGGTATGGTATGGTATGGTGTATTGTATGCTATGGTATGGTGTATTGTGTGGTATGGTGTATTGTGTGATATGGACATATGGTATGGTGTATGGTATGGTGCATGGTATGGTGTATTGTATGGTGTGTTGTATGTTATGGTGTGTTGTATGGTATGGTATGGTATGGTATGGTATGGCGTATTGTATTGTATTGTATGGTATGGTAACTGTATGGTATTGTAACTTTATGGTTTACTGTATGATGTAAACTAATCGCGTTTAACTTGTATATATACTTGTGGCTTGTGTGTCGTGTTGTATTGTATTGTTTATTGTTTATTGTATTCAGCTGTGATACAGTTTTACAGTTAAGTAATGTTATGCAATGTAACTACATTCAGTTGTTTTGCTCGTTGACGTTGTGTTGTATTTCGTAACTTGTGTTATATGATGTGTCGCCTCGTGTTATCAATTAGTGTTTTACAACTTGGACTACACATTCATCTTACCTGAATCCTTGTATATTTTGTATTTCGCGCGGAATCCACTAGCCGTATCACTATCATCAGAATAAAACGTAATATGCAACTCCTTGCAAGTCGAGTTGATCATCGGAGGTATAAATGTACCACAATATCCAACAGCTCTACCTCCCAGGGTCCCAGAAATCCCTGACGTTCCTGTGCATCTCTCTACGATCGTGACATTGTCGTAGTGTTCGCATGTTTTGCTTTTCTCCAGCGCGAAATCTTTGAACGTGAGAGAGACATAAGAGCCCATGGGTACGATTATAATCCATTTACATGTCAGTTCTGTTTGGTAGTTCTGTCCTTCTGAAAAACCTGGGCTTTTTATTGTGCCTTCGCTTTGGTACAGACGTTGTACACCATCACACGCTGAAAGTACAAGATATTGTATTGTTCATTCGCCCAACACAGCACGACTGCTTATACGAACGAAAAGGCTTCTATAAATGAGCCACGACAACCTTATATAAAACCAGACATAGTACTACAGGACGGTACCTGTGTATAGAGCATGCATGCACTAACACCTCAAGTGCAAAGACGTATTACTATACAAAATAAACAAACTAACCAACTAACAAACTCACGTAGCGAATATAAGTAAGTGGCTTTAAGAGTGCTCAATACCAAGGTAGAGCAATGATAAACATCAGTTAAAACATTGGATAAAATATGTAGAAAGTTAAAAAAAAAGTTAAAAGGTTAAAGAAGCGGTTATATATATATATATATATATATATATATATATATATAGGAGCTAACATTAAAGCGAAAACGTTTGTGCAAAATTTGAGTGGCTTTTATTTTATTTTACGTTATAAATGTCTCTTTTGGTTGCACATTGAAACCTTTTCTATATATATATATATATATATATATATATATATATATAA